AAACACACATCACACACACACACACACACACACACAAACGAAATCAGTTTCCCCCTCTTGCGCGAAGCGCGGAAGCCTTGACGTTTCCTTTAATTATTAGAGAAAGCAGACGATTGGGTGTACTCAGGGGCGTCGCCAAAGGGGGGGTGTGGGGGGGTGCGACACCCCCCCCCCCACCTGTCAGGATATTGTCGGTAAAATTGCGCTGCCGTCGGGAAAAAGAGAAAAGGGGGAGGGAAAAAAAGAGAGGGAAAGGGAAAGAAAAGAAAAAAAGAAAAGGAAAAGAAAAGAAAGAAAGGAAAGAAAGGAAAAGAAAGGAAAGAAAAGAGCAGAAAGAAAGAGAAAAAAGAAGAAGAGGGAGGAGAGGAAAGAAAGGAAAAGAAAGAAAAGGAAGAAAAGGAAAAAGAAGAAAAAAGAGTGAGAGGGAAACAAAAGAAACGGGGGATGAAAGAGAGGAGAGAGAGGGGAGGTAAGAGTCTGAGAGAGGAGGAGTGGGAGTAAAAGAGAAAAGGGGGTTGTTAAGTGGAGTCGTCTCGTCGAGGGAGCAAGAAAGACACAGGTAATTATGTTGTTGTGTCGGGTCAGCTGTGTCGGTATTCTTGCTCGATCCTCGTGTACTATATCAATGCAGAAGTTTGAAGTCGGTGAGATGTATATTGTCGGTCGGCCGACAAGTTTTTTTTCCCTACGAACTGTGACTTCTTATCCGCTGTGAAGACTTCGAGAGTGACTACAATACTTGTATTTTCTCAAAGTTTCACTTTCCTATAATATCAGCTAAAGAAATCAGAGGCCTAAAATTTTCGGGGAAACTAAATTCAAACAAGGTTTAAGAGTCAACAACGGTACGACGAATCGTCTTCCTTTCTTTATATTGTGATGAAACGCCAAAAATTCCGCGCTTCGCGCGGAAGGGGAAACTTCATTTAGACGAGTCGAAAACGGTACAACGAATCGTCTTCTTTCTCTAATAATTTAAGGAAACGTCAAAGCTTCCGCGCTTCGCGCGAGAGGGGGAAACTGAATTCAGACAAAATTAATAGGGCTTATTTAGAGTCGAAAACGGTACAACGAATCGTGTTCTTTCTCTAATAATTTGAGGAAACGTCAAAGCTTTCGCGCAAGCTGGGGAAACTGAATTCAGATGAATAGGGCTTAATAAGAGTCGAAAACGGTACGATGAATCGTCTTCCTTTCTCTATATTGTGATGAAACGCCAAAAATTCCGCGCTTCGCGCGGAAGGGGAAAACTTCATTTAGACGAGTCGAAAACGGTACAACGAATCGTGTTCTTTCTCTAATAATTTGAGGAAACGTCAAAGCTTTCGCGCTTTGCGCGAGATGGGGAAACTGAATTCAGATGAATAGGGCTTAATAAGAGTCGAAAACGGTACGATGAATCGTCTTCCTTTCTCTATATTGTGATGAAACGCCAAAAATTCCGCGCTTCGCGCGGAAGGGGAAAACTTCATTTAGACGAGTCGAGAACGGTACAACGAATCGTCTTCTTTCTCTAATAATTTGAGGAAACGTCAAAGCTTTCGCGCTTTGCGCGAGATGGGGAAACTGAATTCAGATGAATAGGGCTTAATAAGAGTCGAAAACGGTACGATGAATCGTCTTCCTTTCTCTATATTGTGATGAAACGCCAAAAATTCCGCGCTTCGCGCGGAAGGGGAAAACTTCATTTAGACGAGTCGAGAACGGTACAACGAATCGTCTTCTTTCTCTAATAATTTAAGGAAACGTCAAAGCTTCCGCGCTTCGCGCGAGAGGGGGGAAACTGAATTCAGACAAAATTAATAGGGCTTATTTAGAGTCGAAAACGGTACGACGAATCGTGTTCTTTCTCTAATAATATGAGGAAACGTCAAAACTTCCGCGCTTCGCGCGGGAGGGGGAAGCTTCATTCAGATAAGGATTAAGAGTCGAGAACAGTACACCGAATTGTCTGCTTTTAATTCTCATAATTTAATGAAACGTCAAAGCTTCCGCGCTTCGCGCGGGTGGGGGAGAAACTGAATTCAGACAAGGATTAAGAGTCGAAAACAGTACACCGAATCGTCTGCTTTTTCTCATAATTTAATGAAACGTCAAAGCTTCAGCGCTTCGCGCGGGTGGGGGAGAAACTGAATTCAGACAAGGATTAAGAGTCGAGAACAGTACACCGAATCGTCTGCTTTTTCTCATAATTTAATGAAACGTCAAAGCTTCCGCGCTTCGCGAGGGTGGGGGAGAAACTGAATTCAGAAAAGGATAAACAGTCGAGAACGGTACAGCAAATCGTCTTCTTTTTTATAATAATTTAATGAAACGTCAAAGCTACCGCGCTTCGCGCGGGAGGAGGGGAAAACTTCATTCAGCCAAGGATTACCAGTCGAAAACGGTACAATTAATCGTCTTCTTTTCCTAATAATTTAAGGAAACGTCTAAGCTTTCGCGCTTCGCGCGGGAGGCCCATCACTCACACTCCCCTAATGAGCGCGCTTTTAAGTGATTCTCTTGCTCACTACCGCCCCTCCCTAAAATAAGATCCTAGCTCCGCGCCTGCATTAATATATAGCTATGATGCTGACTAAATTAGAGAAATAATTCGTTTATTTATGTCGTCGAGGAAAATGACCATTTTGCGCATATGCAAGTACTATAGATAGTCCATAGGCCCCAGGTTTATAGGGTTGAATTTGTAGATATTGGACATTTAATTTTGTCGGTAATTGGTGGCTGGTTTTGTCGGTAATCGTTGGCCTCTACACCCCCCCACTGAAAAAGGTCTAGCGACGCCCCTGGGTGTACTGTTCTCGACTCTTGATTCTCGTCTGAAATCAGTTTCCCATTCCCGCGAGAAGCGCGAAAAGCTTAGACGTTTGATTTAATTATTATAGAAAGAAGACGATTCGTTGCACCGTTTTCGATTCTTAATAAGCCCTATTTATCTGAACTCAGTTTCCCCCCTCTCGCGCGAAGGGCGGAAGCCTTGACGTTTCCTTAAATTATTAGAGAAAGCAGACGATTGGGTGAACTGTTCTCGACTCTTAATTCTCGTCTGAATTCAGTTTCCCCTTCCCGCGCGAAGCGCGAAAAGCTTAGACGTTTGATTTAAATATTATAGAAAGAAGACGATTCGTTGCACCATTTTCGACTCTTATTAAGCCCTATTTATCTGAATTCAATTCAATTCATTCAATATAAACAACAAATTAATTCATTCATAGACCTACACAAACATCACATGCATTGCAGCCCTTAAATATCATCCCCTCGTCCCTTAAGTTTTAGGTGTAAACAAAATTAATGACAACCACCGAGTAGGACCTGGACAATGCAACAGTTACCGTATTATTTATCACTCTCAATCAGATGCGTTCACAGTTTTCACCCGGAGATTTCTTTAAAAAGGGGGTGGGTTTTTTTCTCTCTCTCTTTGGAATCCTGAGAAATGTAAAAAGGGGGTTATAAAATATCTTAAATATCATTAAAAAAAATTGATCGAATCCCGGGATCAAATTCCTGAAACTCCTGCTAGCTTTGAAAGCTCATTCAGGATTATTTCATTTTGAAAAGTAAAAACATTGGCCCCCAGCCCCCCAGTCCCTCTCGATCGATTAGAGCTCACCTGAAATTGGGGGGGGGGGGGGTCTCCAAGGCAGGAAAAGCCAGCGAAAAGCCGGCGAAAGGGGGATTCAGAAATGTTGGCAGTCCTGAGACAGTGGCGGATCCAGGGGGGGGGGGGGCGCGGGGGGCCCGGGCCCCCCCCCCCCTTGAGAAAAAAATCATGTAAAATCACGTGATTTTTACCTTTTTTGGGGTTGGGCCCCCCCCCCCTGGCGCTCAAGGGGGGGGGGGTGCAAATCGAAATTTTTTTTGAGGATCAAAAAAAAAAAAAAATGTGCTCACTACCCCCCCCCCCCCCCCCCCCCCCCCCCCCCCCCCCCCCCTGAGCGACTTTTTGGCCGGCGCGTTTTCAAATTTTCGGGAGCAAAAAAAGAAAAAAGTTGGGCCCCCTTCCCTTAGAAATCCTGGATCCGCGCCTGTCCTGAGATAGGGGTTGGGGGTGCTTTCAAAGGGAGGGAACGAGCATACTCGTACCCTAAATAACACTGAGTGGGGGGGGGAGAGCCGGGCATCTTCTGTACATGATTGCACTTTTTAAGCGCTCGCGCGCTAGCGCACTTTACGTCTAGGCTATAATAATACCTTGCAAAGTAACGAAAAATTATTCTGAAGTTTATGAAGTGCTTGTTCGCACACGTCGCGCAACTACTCTTAATGATCGTGACATACTGTACACGTGTAGGCTATACAGTTATACATACATTAAAAAAAAACCTCATTTCTCATGCATTATGCTGAAAGTGAAACCATCACATTTTTTTTCTTCTTCTTCCTTTTTTTTTTCTCTTTTTTTGTTGTTGTAATCTCAGGGGGGGGGGGTGATTGTACAGGCCATCCCCCCCCTACTTCAAGCCAGGGGGGATGCAGCCCCCCCATCCCCCCGGGATTTACGCCCCTGCATACCACACAAAAATGATACCAATTGATTTGGGATAAAACGCTCTTTCATATTAGATGTATCATTATTTAAGGTTCATAGATGATTGAAACGGGGTGCCCCTCTTAAAAATAGTCTAGACATCCATAGAAATACTTCTACTTGTAGATCGTGTCCAGAAGCCCGGTTACCGTTTTCTTAAGAATAATACCTCATTCGTGTTCTCGCTTAAGTTCAAATTCCATGCAGATGCTAAAAAAAGTTTATAGCTTTTTATAACTGTTTATGCTTTTTCTTTTATCCAAAGTCATATTATAATGGGTGCCATTTTTATTTTTATGTTTATATGACGACGGGGCTATATATAAACGGGGCTGAGTGGTTTGGAGGCAGCAGTCCAAACCAAATCTACATGATTACTCCCACCCCCCCCCCCCCCCTCACTCCAAGGGTCCACCGCCCCTATTTATCAAGTAGATCTATATACTTTTTCCCATCGCTATACAGTACCAGTTTACAGTTGTATCAGTGCGCATGCGCAGACAGTTGACGAGGAGGCGCGGCGTTTGATAAAGCCTAAAGGTAAACATTTTTTAATCTTTTATTTTGGTCTTCAAACGTTCAAACAAAAAGAACTCACGAACAGAAAACATTGCTATATGCGTGACAGTAATCCATGATTCTAATTTAATTACTTTAGGGTCTATGTATGATTGTGTTTTAATTATGATGTTCGGTATCTTTCGAGTGCATGTCGTGTGTAACCGTAACTGCTATCCTACTCGAGCGCGAGCGGTGCGACCCCACGAGTTATGACTTATGGGGACAAAGTTTGCATAGATCTGCCTTGCCCCGTGCGTTGGCTGCCGCTAAAAAGCCAAAAGCGGCCAGCTGATAAAGCCAGTGCCATGGACTGTTTTCTTTGTCAATATGCTATGATTTATATATTCATTGAGGCTTTCGTTAACTTGTTACATCACGTGAGGAACAACTTTAGAATACCCCACCACAAAAATTGACCAAACTTTTGTAGATCTAGACTAGACTAGACCTAATTATGAAGGAAAAAACTGTGATAACGCCATTACGAACGTGTAGATGGCGCACAGTTTTTCCTTCATAATCATTTTACCTTCGGCGTAGACTAACAAAGTTAGAAGGGATGAGATTGACGGCAGCGAGAGTTTAACACGGCTTGCAAGATTTTCAACATGGATGTCGATTTTGACCGATAATTTCCTTAAAAGGGACCATTAAACGGATTATATCAATCAAGTTAGTAAGTGGAACCGATGTATTATAGCCTAGGCCTAATTTAAAATTGGAAATGAACGAGGTAAAATGACATTTTGGGGGATTTTGGGGGCATAACAATACGGCCGTGGCAATACGTGCCTTCACGGTTGTTTCATCGCAAAGCATGCCGGGACATAATTCTAGTCCATTTTCACCTTCGCCGTGATCAGCTGTCCTGTTGCAAACAACGGGATTCTTATCGAATCAACATCATAATCTTGTACATAGTCCGCTATTCTGCAGTGATTTTCTTCCAATCCAGTATCATTTGTACGGTAAGAAAACCAAAGTTTGTGGTTATTCATTTTTATGACTAATAAAGCTGATAATACGACGTAATGAGAGTGGGCCGAGATCCAACTTTAGTAAATCTAGGCCTAGATCTAGTCCCGTATGTTCAAATGTGTGTGCATTTTAAGTAGACTGTTTGTCTTTTAAGCTGCTTAAGTACACTCGTCTCGTGTTTTAGGTAGAAATGTACAGTAATATGAGATTTATGTCTCATGAAATATGAATAGACTTTCTAGATCCTATAATTGATAATGGAATAGGGTCTACTAGAATGGCCGACAGTTAGGCCTAGAAGTAGAAAGTGATTGCAATTAGAAATTATATAAATGTAAGAAAGTAAAAGAGGCCATGAAAACGATAGATTTTTTCGATCTGGATCTGAATATAATAGTCTGATATCAATGAGCTCTACTTGAGGATCTACATGACGGGGGCGTATGGAGGATTTTTTCGAGGGGGGGGGGGGGCCGGGGGGTAAAATTTGAAAATCACGCAGTCAATTTCACAACGACTCGGCCAGCCGGTGAATAAGCCGGGGGTGGTAAGAGCACCTTTTTTTTTCCTTCTTTTTTTCCCCGAAAATATGAAATTTGGGAGACCGATATTTTGTTCAGTTGGTGGGGGGTAAGGTCACCTTTTTGGGTCACCCTTTAGCACAAAAAATGTTTAATTTATTTTTGTTATTAAAAAAGTGAGGGGGGGAGGTTCCTCAAAAACACACACACACATAGTCTAAACAAAATTGGAGGAGGGGGGGGGGGGTTCAACCCCGAAACTCCCTCCCCCCTGCATACACGTCTGCTACATGATCTAGTGTTGAAGAAGTGATGAGGGTTCTTTGGTCACAAACTTAAATTTGATTTTCTTTTCCCTTTTATTTATCAGTTGCAGCATCATCGAACACTATGACCCATGAATCAGAAGATAACGTAGATGCTACGAGAGAGCTCATTTCACAATGGACAACAGAAGTGTTACGTGACTTTCTACAAGGAGGGGACTCAAGCTTGGAAATCGAGTACCGTCAGCCATCCGAGGTAGAGATAAACTGGACGATGGATGGAGAGGGGGCGGGGGGGGGGGGGGGGGGGGGGGGGAGAAAGGCATGCAGACTGCAGAGCTGGTCGTCTACTATGTATAGAGACATTTGTGTGTACCTAGTAGATAAGGACCCTCCATCACTAGAGGGAAGAATGAGAGACTACAAAGAGGGAAAGGCATTTAGTTATTTTGCCAGTTTCTGGTTAGGGAGATATTTTTTTCATCTCGTGGGAGAAAGCTGTCTGTAATTCAAAATCATTTGATACTTGAATAAATTTAGTTCATTTTCTAGACTGTTTCATGTCAAACCGTTGATTCTACTTTCTTGTGAGTATAGTCAGAGAGATAGAGAAGTAACACGAGTAAAGAATGAAAAAGAAGCTAATATTTGAACGAGGAGGAGAAAATGGAGATTACGTTGTTGCCCATAGAGTTGGAATAATTGTTCTTACCACTTTTTATTAAATGATTGTGACCATTTGGTTTATTGTTTGTACATAAAGGTCATATGTTATAAGAACTGTATTGATCAATCTAAAGAGTCTTATAGATTGATTAATACAGTTTTGAGATGATGATGATGATTGTGATGATGAACGAGAAGGAGAAGAGGAGGAACATATCATGAGTTGATGGAGAAAAGATTGATAGAGGGGTTATCATTACAGAGAGAGAGAAAGAGAGATGGACTAACATGAGGAAGGGAGAGCAAGAATGGAGGCTATGACATAGGGGAAGAGATAGAAATCAAAATTATATTTATACTAACATTTACTAAATTAGAATAGTAAATTAGAAGATAAAGCTAAAGGAAAGAATGCAAACTAAAATTAAGCAAAGACCATCACAATATCGTTTACATTATAATATAAATTAAGTAAAGGTACATGGAAACGTGTACATTTGTAAAATTTAATCTCTTGTTCTCTTAGATCTTCCTCTTCACACCTAATTCTTGCTCTCCCTCTCTATCTCTCCCCCCTCTCTGTCTCTTTCTCTCTCCTCTCTCCTTATTATCACTCTTTCTTTTTCATTAAGCGTCGACATCTCTCTCGATGCCTCTCTCTGTTTCTATGATTTTTCTCTCGTTAAATATTTAAAACATCAGGTCTGTCTGACCTTCCTCTCTTGAATAAATCATGAATAACTTCAACTCGGCGTCCTACATACAGTAATGATTGCTTAGTACTCGTCTACAACCTTCTCTGTGTTGTTTTATTTTATTGATAAAATAAATATAACCATGAGATGAATACAAGTTAGATCAATATCAACAGGTTTAATGCAATGCATATAAGTTGACATCTTATGAAGAAGTAGTACCACCCCCGCCCCCCCCCTCCAGGAACGGGAACGGAGGTACCGCATGCGTGTTCCCAAAATCTCTGGCTCGTAACAAAGAAAAAGATCTGCCCGTATTGACTTTACACACTGGACTTTTGCTGAGAAGGGGGGGGGGGGGGGGGGGTACCACCTTTAATGCAAACAGATTTAAAGGGATCGGGTAACTTACTCTCAGATTCTGAAACAAAATCCTGGATTTAGCTCATGCTGCAATGATAAATTTAGGTCAGTCAGGAACTCAATGACTTTTACAATCCGATCGCCTGTCTGATTATCAAGATATTTACGATTGGAAATCGAAACCAAATTTTGTGTTTGCCAAACGGTTTTCATAACACTACAGTTTATTGGGGAAAACGAGTATGGTAAAAGGGGTCAAACAAAGATTTTTACTTTTTAGAGGCACTTCTTGATCATTTTGAAGCACAATTTTGTTAGGGCTTCAGTATTAATACACCATATCACAGACACTGGTAGCACGTAGGGCCATACGTCCATCTCGGTTTAAACATTGTTATACATTGTTAAACAATGCATTTTACAATACCTTTACAACATACACCATACACCATTTGCTGTCACATGGTTTGGAAATCACATTACAGATAATAATTCTACAACTGTGAGGTTTCACCTGTCGTCATTTGATACCCGAAGGAACACTTTTTTAGGGGCTAAATCTAATTTTTTCACAAGGCAAAATAACTATATGCCTTCCCCTCTTTGTAGTCTCTCATTATTTTTCCCTCTAGTGATGGAGGGTCCTTATCCAGTAGGTACATACAAACATAGTAGGCCAGTTCTGCATGCCTACCCCCACCCCCCCCCCCCCCCAATCCATCCATTGTCCAGTTCCTCACAGTGTCTACCTCGGATGGCTGAACAGCTACCGCGTCAAGGCAGAGAACAAATAATGACTACCGGTACTCGATTTCCAAGCTTGAGTCCCCTCCTTGTAGAAAGTCACGTAACACTTCTGTTGTCCATTGTGAAATGAGCTCTCTCGTAACATCTACATGCACGGTGTTATCTTGTTTCATCGGCCGTGTTCGATGATGCTGCAACTGATAAATATAAGGGAAAAGACAATCATATTAAGTTCTTGACCACAAGAATGATTGTAACAAAAGAATCCTTATCACTTCTTCAACACGTAGATGCTCAAGTTGAGCTCATCGATATCAGAATTTATATCCAGATCCAGATCGACAAATCTATCATTTTCATGGCCTCTTGTACTTTTTTACACTTAATTGCAATCACTATCTAAATGTCAGCCATTCTAGTAGACCCTATTCCATTATCAATTATAGGATCTAGAAAGTCTATTAATATCTCATGAGACATAAATCTCATATTACTGTACATTTCTACCTAAAACACGAGACGAGTGTACTTAAGCAGCTTAAAAGACAATCAGTCTACTTAAAATGCACACACATTTGAACATACGGGACTAGATCTAGGCCTAGATTTACTAAAGTTGGATCTCGGCCCACTCTCATTACGTCGTATTATCAGCTTTATTAGTCATAAAAATGAATAACCACAAACTTTGGTTTTCTTACCGTACAAATGATACTGGATTGGAAGAAAATCACTGCAGAATAGCGGACTATGTACAAGATTATGATGTTGATTCGATAAGAATCCCGTTGTTTGCAACAGGACAGCTGATCACGGCGAAGGTGAAAATGGACTAGAATTATGTCCCGGCATGCTTTGCGATGAAACAACCGTGAAGGCACGTATTGTTCAGTCTCTATATCCGGAGGTCTAGTGGAGCCAGACGTAGTCTCAGTGGAACAACCGACGATTATAGAGACTGAAGCTTTCGGTCTAACATAGGCTAGATCTTGACTAGATCTAGATCTAGTCTAGGACTAGGAGCATCATTATCCTGGCTGTGTAGTAAAAGCTGTGCTTTTGATTCTCAACATTTCAAACACCACTGTACAAAACTCAACTGATTTCACTCTAAATCGGTACTTTAGTGACAATTGATGACACCTAAATAGCAGTAAAATACATTTTTTTCAACTTAGGTCTAGATCTAGGTCTAGAGTACTAAAGGAGCCCGTTTTCGGCCACTTAAGACAAAATCCTTTTTTTAGGACCCTTTACTTCCTATTTATTATCATTTTTTGTTCAAATCATGAAGCAAATATTATTATTATTTAAACAAAAAAAGAATCCCAGAAAAAAATCACGAATTGCCATGACAATATTCATTTCAATTTTCACTGTTTTGGAGCCAGTTATCGGCCGAGCGTTTCAGTTTACGGCCGCATGTACAAAGTCAATAGGAAGCGCTCGCGCGGGCCGTGCGTTTCCGCGCTGATGTACAGCACAAGTGGGCGGAGCAGGTATCCCACGCCGGAGCTCCCTGGTGCTCGCCTGGCCGAAGACAGGCACAGCGGTGATCGGAAGTTTGAATCTGAATTAGACAGACATATCGTGTGTGCGTGGCAGGGTCCGGCTGCATTGATTTAAGACATGCGATGAGATACTTTTGAGCTTGCGACTAACACAAAATCGGGCTCTAAATCTGAAAAATACTTGAAATAAAGCTGATTTTATGGTACCCATATTTCTTACATACACGCGTAAGATACTCGATTTTTCAGATTCGGATAGCGGGACCGCCGATTACATCGCTAAAATGTGATATTTTAGGATATATTTTTCATTGCAAATGTGGTTCTTCAGTGACACTGGCATGGTATGGTATGAGTGGGATATGTGTTATGCTATTATGCGATGTATTTTAGAGTGATTTTACCTTGCATCCAACCAATCGGCCGAAAACGGGAGCTGGCCGATTACGGGCTCCTTTATGTTAAAAAGAATAATTAAAAAAATCAAATTGCAAGTCTAGACCTAGAACTCTAGGTCTACTGTCAAACTTTGCTTACAGCCGCATCGGTATGATTGTATGCAGTCTATGCAATATTGTGTGGTGTGTGTATTTGTGTATGGGTCTAATAATACCTGCCTCACAGCATGTATGCAGTGCTAGAGGTCAATACACATGATTAGCATTGGCTCTCTTAGACCGAAAGCTTCAGTCTCTATATCGTCGGTTGTTCCACTGAGACTACGTCTGGCTCCACTAGACCTCCGGATATAGAGACTGAACAATCGCCTATATGCCATCGTATGTTGAAGATATCACGGCTAGATTTTAGCCGTTAGGCCCCTCCCACAAACATGACAAACTTGAGGAGAAATACATCATTTATCTTCAATTGCAGTAATTTTCTAGGCAATTGTCAGTCTCTAAAAGTTCCCTTTTTACCCCCCTTCCCCACGAAATAGAAATATAAAAGAAATAAAAGGACTTACCAAGCTTTAGACTGCTTCTCGATGACCCACGTCAAGCCTTCTGACCGACAGAAATCAAAATGGCGGCTAATGAATATTCAAATACGATAATGGGGATGGTTGACCTCGCCTCGGCTAGCTCCTCCGCGCGGCACGTCGAGGATAGCGCGCGCAAGTGAAGCAGACAACACGAGAACTCAAACGATGCGAGATGTACATGTACGCGCACGTCTATGAATGAGGTCAATGGGGTGGAGACTGAAGTGAAGCCCCCCAATTTTATTTAGACAGAATAACCTTACTTGGCTGCTAGACTAATATTAAAAATATTAATTTATACAAATATAAGCCCAAATATATCCTACAATTTAGTTATTACAATTATGGCACTCAAGGATTTTGCTAAAGCTTTTCACATCGAAGGAACATCATGTTTTCTTATGTATAACTGATTTTCTTATAAAATTGAAGATATGGCGTATATATTCAATACTGAATGAATGCCATTGATGTTTTCTTATGTATAACTGTTTTTCTTATAAAATTGAAGATATGGCGTATACACTGTATATTCAATACTGAATGAATGCCATTAAACTATTACCTACAACAACAACAACAACTATTGATGTTCCTGAGTGAATTTTTTTAGCTACTATAGTTCCAAGAATGAGTCATTGTGTATTTGTTTTATATCCCTTCATTCATTGGACACTTCTGTAATCTGATAATAACATGTACCGTACTCACATTCACATCACATTCAAAAAAGAAATAAAAGAATATTGCACGGCTCAAATGAAACATTGAAGGATGTAAATATTTTTAGCTGGCCCTATATTATACAGTTACTGCATTAGTGTAGTACAGTTACTGCTCAGCGTAAATTGCATGACATTGGCACCGTGACACAGTTGCCTGCTGGAGACATTTGAAATCCTGTACGCTCGCTGAATTTTGCCAGTTTTTTTTTGGGGGGGGCTGGGAAAACGAATAATTCACTATTTCCGGGAAAAGGTGAACTATTCGGCAGGAAACGTCTTTTATAATATTATTATTCTGTTTATTGTTGTGTACACTCCTAATACAACAAACTTACGATAAGGGATATAAAGTTTATAACATGATTCAGCTAGATTATTTACATATGGGTAGATAATTGCACAGCTAACAACATGTACATCACATTAAACATGTAGAAATTTGAAACAGTACTCATTTGCCAACTTGTAGATCTAGATCTACATACACTATCATTTCATACTATTGAAAATATGATTTACTGCAATATTTTTGTGCTAACAATTAAATCTACATGTATATGTACCATAACTGTTATATACATGTACATGTAGACATAGTATTAAACATAGTCGAAGAAGCTGAAAAGTTTTTTTTTATTTGACTACAATTTTTTGTTGGTGTCATGTCCATTATGGTTACAAAGAGTCTATTTTCTCTTCAACAATCAAGTGAAATACTATGGAAGTATGTTATGTGTATATCCCTCTTTGAAATGTGTCTGATATTGATGCACTTACAGGCTTACTGAAACATGCTTTAGGGCCTTTGAGTTTGCTTAAAATTGTAGTAAATAACCAAATTTAATTTGGATGTCTTGTCCATTGCGCTGGAATTGATGATGATGATCCACAGCACTTGTATGGCGTCATTAATTCTGTTTCAAACATTTAAAGGTGCCCGGTTGACCATGTTGACCTTGTTGTTTTACAATTGCTGTACAAAACTGTGACAGTTTGAGATTTTCTTATCCAGTTTTTGGATTTTACTCTGGTTACTAAGCCACAAAGCCACAAATATAGATGTGTAATTACTGTTTGTTTTTTTTCTCTCCAGAAAGTTGTGAGTAGCCATGTCAGATGCCATGGATTTGAGTAGGGGACAAAATAACAGTGATGATGATGGTGGCATCGTGCTTCACCAGTGGAGGAGTTGGACCCCTGAGGACGTGGGAAGGTACTTCAAAGTGAAAGGTCTCTCAGAGGAGGGTGATATCCTGACACGTGAGTAAAGACACAGGAAGAGTGAAATAGATTTAGAGAATATCTATCTAAGAACAGACTGGAGTCTTATCATTTTGGCTTGTGGGCAAACTAATATGTACAGTGTTGCTCATAGGTTGAGTGGGCCAGTCATTTCGGAACCCTCCAAACTGAATTTCCATTCTTTACGTTGATGTGCTCTTTGCCACGTCTTCATCTAATCCCAAGCATTGCGCAATTATGATAAGTTTGATTTTGCAATTACTGGTAAAGGGAAATCCAATCCTGATATCGATGACAAATTGCTTTGTATAATGCAGATAAGTCAGAGAAATTGATTTGTGAAAGTGTGAAATAAATTTGGTAAATAAAGTGATCATGTAAATCTCAAATTTGTAACATTGTAATGTCACTATGACATGTTAGAATTATTTGCTTCTGTGCACAAAAATGATTACACTTCATGTTTTAACTTTCATTTTCAGTCAGCTGCATTATGTCCCTCATCGTATGATAATAATAGTGTTTGTATAGCGCATAACACATAGGCATAAGAGAATGTCTCTATGCGCTTTATGGAACAGATTACAGAATATAGAAGGAGTGGAAATAGTGCACTGTATTCATGATTATGAGATCTTACAAGGTGCTAAATAGATTTGTTTTCAAATTACTACTAAACTTTTCATATGTTTCTATATCTCTCTATGCCTCTATTGAAGGTATTCCAGCAAGTCATCCTATAAAATATTAGCTGCATATGAAAATGACCTTTCCCCATAAGATTTTGTCACAGTTTGTGGGACATAAAATAAAGACTTTTTACTAGAACGCAGTATTCTCATGATTGTTTTCTTTTGAACATCAGGTGAAAACATCAGTGGAGATCACTTGCCACAGATGACTGAGGAGAGACTGGAAAAGATTGGAGTTCAGTAAGAACAAACAATTATTGCAAGTGCTTGTAGCACCCTGTATGCAATATATTTCATTCTTGAAATATGAAATGACTAAGGTTCTTCCTATTTATGTTCTGTAATGTTTTCTAAGGAAGATTTTTTTTTTTCTCTGTGGAATTATAGTTTTCGATTTGAGATCAAATGAAATTCTGAAACTACTATAATGTACGAAAGTTCAAAGGACAATGATGATAATGGTAAAATAATATATGACGCACTTTCTGTACGAATGTATTTTACTTCACATTACAATGCAAAACAAACAAAAGCAGACATGACAGTGATAAAAACATTTATTCAGTCATATGAGTGAAAGAATATTAATTCCAGTCTTAAATGTTGGTATGCCTATTCTTCCTATGGCAGTTGCACTAGTTTATAATAAATATTGTCCATGGAACGGAGGGAGATTTTTCCAAAGTTCAGATGCAGGCTGTGCAGCAGTAATAAAAGTACTGGTATGTTTTCTCAGAGTTTTCTTTGTCTTGTACATGTACATAGTGAATGAATATGAGAATATTGTGTGATTTTTTTTATTCTATGTTTTCACTTATTCACATTTTTTGTAGAACAATGGGGAAGAGGTTTTCTGTTGTAGAAATCATCAACGCACTTACAAGAACCTCCCATCAAAGCCTGAAAACCAAGGTAAGCACCTACAGATTTCAATTTGGAACCAAAATCAGGAATCATATTGATCAAAATCATCAATACACCACAATTTCAAATACTACTGAATATTTTATACTAAAGCCTATTTTTTTGTCTGTGCATTGTCTTTCACCCAGGTTTTCAATGACTCGGTTCACGGCCATATTGACTTTGATCCACTGCTAATCAAGATCATAGACACGCCGCAGTTTCAAAGATTACGCTTCATAAAGCAACTTGGCTGCAGCTATTTTGTCTTTCCAGGAGCTGCACACAATCGATTTGAACACTCGCTAGGGTAAGTATAAAGTGGCCTATGGACATCATGAAACATGTGTCTAGCATTTTGTTTATATATGTACCTAGTTATTTCTGAAAATGTAAGTTATTATGCTAAAGCCTCTTTCACACCAGATCTGCATTGAGTTGCGTAGTGTGGCGTACCGACTACGCCGAAATTAGGCTGCGTAGTCATAAATGTTGCTTAGGCGTAGTCCCTGCGTAGGCTGACGTACAATGGCGTATGGTTACGTACCCTGTGCATAGGCACTGCGTACTTACGGCGTATGCAATTTGCCTACCTTTGCATACGATTGCGTATAACAGGCGTAGGGTTGCGTACGTTTACGTAGACCTGGCGTACAGGTTTGCTTATGGTTGCTTACTGTGTGCACAAGCTTTTACTGCTTCGTCGGACTGGCGAAGGGTAGCATACTATTGCGTAGGCTTGGCGTACTGTAGCGCAGTGCTGCGTAGACTTGAGTAAAAAATGTGTACTTTCTGCGTCTAGTGTACCCCTTTGCGTGCCTTAGCCGCTAGCGTATAGTCACGTACTGCAGCGTAACGCTCGGCGTATTCGATACGCAACTCTATGTATGGCCCGCTGTGAAAGGGGCTTTAAATAAGAGATGCTACAACAGAATTTTTTTCTTTTTGTTTGGTTATATATAATGAATACCCATCATCATTGTTGGTTGAGTTTGAAGAACAAAGGAGTTTGCTACAGCTTAGGAGTATATCAAGTCTTTGTTTCCTGTAGTCACAGGAAGTGTGAACATTGATCTCTCTCTCTCTCTCTCTCTCTCTCTCTCTGTCTCACAAAAGAAAAACAATGTCATTGTAAATAGCTAGGTTGCCAACTACATTGCACACTGTGTATGTTGGTAGATATGTGGTTTAAGTAAGATCTGAAAGGCCTGGGATAAATGTAATAGTTGTGAGATAATTTATTTTTTACATCTGTTTACTTAAGCACAGAAAACTTAACAATCAAGTGAATGATAATATTTAATTCACTTAATATATGAATGATTCAAATCAGTATTATAAGACCTATGTTTCATAAAGCATTTTAGTCACTCTTTTGTCTGTTTTTCTTTCCTTCGAAATGCACCTTGAGTCTAATTTGATGAGGTAGATTGCTTGGCCAATGTATGCAAGACTGGTGTTTTGGGGCAAAACATTGATCTACATTTGCCACTCTCCACCCAGGTGTTCAACGGGTACTGATAAAAAGGAATAATTGAATGCTGTGAGCACTAAAATCATTAGCCTTGCTTGAGCAAAGGTAATTTTGGAGTGAATTGATCCCGATTGCATTGTGCATATATGTGCGCTTAAGGAATATCAGAATAGACAATATTGTTCATTGTGATTTTACTATTATTATGGCAGTATAATTCAAGCAATTGCTTAGAATTATTGCAAATGGACTTATTCAAGGATTTTCATTGATTTCCATTATACAGAGTGTGCTACCTTGCTAGAGAGCTTGTCCTCTCCCTTCAACGAAAGCAACCAGAGCTTGAGATCACGGACAAAGATATCCTCTGTGTGCAGATTGCTGGTCTTTGTCATGATCTAGGTAAGAAAAAGAAAGTCTCGACTATTGCTGCATGTATGGGAAGTTAAATATAGATTGCTGCAATTTTTTTTTTTTTTTTTTTTTTTAAGGGGCTTTTGCCAGAGAAAATGGTGTCCTTAAGGAGAAATGCCCATCTCTGAAATGGAAAATATATCTAATAATGATCAATCTGTTGATTGTCTGAAATAAGAATAAGATTTTACTGCATATATAGAGAGGTCTAGATTGCTGCAGTGTTATTCTTTATTTGTAAGGGATTTCCCAGGGAATGCATAATCTTTGTCAATTGTGTCATTTAGTCACATCACTGAAAGGGAAATCAGATGTGATGAAGATTAACCATTTGATTGTCTGAATAGACAGGTAACCGAGTCTTTAAAGCACTGGCATGAACATAAATTTCACATTTCTCTGTAAACAAGAAGCCTTCAATGAAGTGCTATGGTCATCCAAGCTGAAAAATAAAGTGTCTGTTTACTTCACTTGTCCCTAGATTAATGGTTTTTAACAGATCAAAGAAAGACAAAGAAGCAAATTACATTATGTGAGAGAATAGGGTGCCCCTTGATCAGGAAAGGAAATATTTTTGTAGGTAGGGATATATTACACTATTGAATCCTGTTTAAACTTTGTTTATACCTCGAAATTTGTTGCATAATATGTAAAATATCCTCTTTTTTTTGGTTCCATTCTTTGTCTTTGTTTTATCAGGTCATGGTCCATTCTCACACATGTTTGATCTATTCTTCATTCCTAAGGTCAGACCTGACTTTAAACACAAGGTAAATGCAAGTATTTTGAGGATTGTTAAAAAAGCAATATCTCTTCCATGATTTTAATTGAGTATGTTATCATATTTTGCAGTTATATATCTTTAATATCTAATGGTTGATTCCATTTCATATGAAAACGTTGAAAAGAAGTTTAAAAGTGTATACATGATGCAGAGCTGCCAACCATTCTGGTTTTGCCGGAATTACTCCTTTTTTTCCTCCAAATTACGGTATTACGTTTTTTCTTCATAAAATACGTTTTTTAATTTTTTTTTTTTTTTTTTTTTTTTTTTTTTTTTTACATACCGCACGTCGTACAACTGCCTTTAAATGGTGATTTGATCACAAATTCAATAGAAAACTAATTTTAAAACAAACTTGAAGAGAAAAATATTCTCAAAAAAAATGAAATGCTGATAATACTAAAATAACCACTAAAAGTACCTGCTTGTATGGAAAAAACAGCATGATGAATGAACATTTCTGCATTGGAAGTGTGTCGAGCATGGTTGTAAATTTCGTTTTCATGAATTCCTTTTTTTGGCTTGAAATTCCTTTTTTTTTGCCATCATGATTCCTTTTTTTGGTCGCACAAGGTTGGCAGCTCTGCATGATGTTATGGCCTAGGAAATGATAGGAGAACCACGTCAAAATTGTATTTTGTCAAGTCTCTAAGGGTCTCTAACCACAGATATTTTAAGTATGACCATTTCCGTAACTTAATGATTTGACACATCAGTTGGAAATGATCCCATCTCCTGATTAAAATAATGATATGGTTTTCAGTCCAACAATTACTTTATGTGTGTACTAACATACAATTTGGAGTATGTATTTCAGTATTGGTAATGTGTAAACAAGTTTTCCTCAAATATAATTTTGTAGAAGGTTTCCTTCATTAAAATGTACACAATGCACATGGGAGAGGGATACAGATATTGAGTTACATAGAAGAATTATTTCATTAAAAGTCTGTGGAACACAATTAAAAAGACTTTGATGAAATCAACTTAGGCAGTTTAAAGTTTTTATTGTATTTCCTATAGAAACCGTATTTAGAATAATATTATATCATTATTACAATGTTTAATTTTTCAAAATTGATTCACGAGGCTGTAGAAATGGTCCTCAGGTTGATTTTTTTTCAAAAGTCTCTCTATGTTACTACATACTATTGTTTGCGGCTCTTCTGAAAGACATATTGTCTGCAGTTTATTGTGTCATGATTCGCTGACACAGAAATTGGTGGAAATCCCATTTATGTGTTTACAAGTCTCTCACTCTGTAAAGTTAGATGTCCCACCAAGAAATTACTGAAGCGTCCTGCTGGTCTCTTGGAGAGTCGATTAAAGTGAAGATCCCTCTCAGTAATTAACGGAATCTGTTACCAGATAAATACCTAAATGGTGTCAAAGTCGATCCCCACGATAACCTATATTTGCTTATGTGTCTTAACTCACTATATTGATACCTTGTTACCCAGCATGAGCACCTGTCTGTGCTGATGTTCGATCATCTGATCAAGGAGAATCATCTAGAGGCCAAGCTGAAAGAGAGCGGTTTAAAGGAACAGGATCTTCTATTCATCAGAGAACAGATTGAAGGGTTACCTAAAGACTCTAGTCAGAATCAGGTCAGTGACATTTTCAAAATTATGACAAATTCATCAATGAAATCTTGTGGACTAAAGACAGTTCACTTATTCTAAGACATACATCAATCAATACTAATGTTTTTGTAAATAACTATGTACTATTTAAAAAACAGAATAAGTTCTATTGCTTTGTTCAAATGGCTGATGTCAATGAAGGGACTTTCTAGATAATTTAATAAATGCACACTTTTTACGGGCCCACTGATGGTTATGTCGGAGGCGATGGGTGTAATTCTCATAAGTTAAGCTGGGACTAAGTCCAGACTAAACAAGAATGTTAGTTCACACTTCTTTGGAGTGCTAGGTGTCATCTTCCTCCTTCAATATTCATGACAAAGATAATCTACCAAAGACTTTATTGAAATTCAGTTCACACTCATATTATCTTTTTCTTCCCCATTTATTGCAAAATTAATTTTTTTGAGACATTTCATTGCAGCAATGTATTAATATGTACAGGGTAAATAAGTTCGCAACAGGCGCTCCGTAAAAGTGTGGACTAAGTTAAGCCTGGCTTACCACCCATTATGTTTTGGGGTTGTCCATCCGTCCGTTCTGCTTTCTCTTTGTTGCAATATCTCAAGAACCACTTGAGATATGAACTTTAAACTTAGTGATAGTATTATCACCATAGGAATACAATACGAGGAGTATTTAGGAGCCACGTGTAGCTCTTGTTTGGATTTTTTTAATGTATCCATTGAATTCTCATTTTCCTACCTCTTGTAGAATGGTAGAGAGTGGCTGTACAAAGGACGAGGTCGGGAGAAGAGCTTCCTCTATGAGATTGTGGCTAACAAAAGGAACGGCATCGATGTGGATAAATGGGATTACTTTGCCCGCGACTGTTACAACCTGGGAATAGCTAACAGTTTTGATCACAAGAGGTACATGAAATTTGCCAGAGTGATCCAGGTAGAGGGAGAGAAACAGATATGCAGCCGAGACAAGGTAATGTATGGTAAAAAATTAATGAAGGTGTTCATGTCTGAGAGAGATATGTTTTCATAATTCTTCCATTTATTTCTTAATATGATGCAAATTGATATTGACCATTTCTCATGCTTTTTCATATTGCGCTAGAAGTCGAGAATCTAGAATTGTATAACTTTATCATGGCCTATGACCTTAAAAGGTAATACAAAGTTTTGAAAAATTTTGAATATTGAGGGGATAGTGATTCTTTACAATTTTGATATATTTGGATGCCCCTGTGGAAGTATTATGAACACTAGAAAATTTAGCCTCTAAAACGCTTCCGCTTTTGAGAAAAATTGAATATAAAATTTACTGTTGCTCACAGTAAATTTTGATAAATTTCAAATAGTGATTACAGCCGTACAATGGTAGATGCGACCATGAAAATCTCAGAATATGTAGTTTTGATATATAATTTCCAAATGGGAATAGCTAATCGGTCGATTTTAGTCAAGAAACACTGTTTTATAGCTTAATTAGTATCTTGACCTTGAGAGGGAGCTGTACAACATTATTATTTACAATTTCATAACTTTAGAGTCAATTTCTACTGCGACAACAATCACTCAATATTGTAGGATCGCATATGCTTCCAATATGTTCATTTGAACCAAATTCATGACCCCATACCAAAACTTTGTATTACCTTTAAGTACATATTATTTTTAATCCACAGGGAGAAAAGAACTTCAAGATTACTTCAATTTTATCAAGTTGATAGTCTTAGATTTAAATGAAAAACATGTGCAAGTCAACCTTAATTTTGTCCCCATGAAAAATAATCAATTTGTGTTTACCAGACAGTTTCTCTAAAGACATTCTATTGATTTTGTTATAACAGTAGTTACCGGTACTGTTTTTTCTTTTTCTCTCCCCCTCTCTTCCTATTGCTTTGTATTTCTAGGAGATAGGCAATCTGTATGACATGTTCCACACAAGAAATACCCTCCATCGGAGAGCTTACCAGCACAAAGTAAACAAAATCATTGAAACAATGTAAGTATTCTTCAAAAGAAATTACAGTTATGCTTTAGAATGCTTAAGTGTAATCACATGAACATATTTCCCCATTTAAATGACTTGTTGAGTGTTCTAAGTACCATGCTGTCTCACCGTCACTGTAAAATAATCTAAAAAAAACCAAATAGTATAGAGATATCAACTGCTTTGAGAGGCCTGGCTGTTTTATAGGCTCAAGGGAATGCGCGCGCATCCTGTCATGAACCTGAGGTGCGCCTAGGGGTCATGGCAGATGTGCTAGTTCCCGAGAGCCTATAAAACAGCCAGACCTCGAATATTAAAACAGTTGATATGTCTTTTATATGCAGAATTGAAACCAGTGCGATTAAAGGGAAAGTCCACCCCCAAAATAAGTTTGTTCCGATAGAGGCAGAATAATAAGAAAATCAGGTGAGTGAAAGTTTGAGCAAATTCTGAATGAAAATAAGAAAGTTATGAATTATTGAAGTTGTGATCAATCAAATACAAATTGGCAACTCTGTGACTTATTATACGAGCTCTCCTTCATTTGCTTTGTGCATAATATTCCATAAAATCATGTTTTCTTCGTTATTGATGACGGAATATATATTTGTTCCTTGCAGGGGGAGTATAGAAACATATTTGCAATTATTATATTTAGGGTGCATGTATGGTTGAAATTTTTCTTGAGGGAAAATGAAAATTTTAGATTTTTTTAGTACTGAGCAAATGGAAGTTGAGCTCGCATGATACGTCATAGAGTTGCCAATTTGTGTTTGATTGATCACAACTTCAAAAATCCTAACTTCCTTATTTTTAATCGGAATTTGCTCAAACTTTCACTGACTTGTTTCTCTCATTTTCTACTCCTATTAAAACTAACTTAATTTCAGGGTGGACTTCCCCTTTAAGAAAGAAGAATTCTTACCTTATCCTTTTATGGAGTGAAAATTGGTTTAAACATCACTGAAAAGCTAAGACAATGTCTGTTAATCTTCCATGGAAAAAATGACTAAATGTTTCAATCATTTGGGAATCGCAGACAAAAAGCACTATATGGTGTCCGCACTCACACAAAGACAATTTTAACACGTAAACCAATGGGGATTGCAGCATGAGGGCTTTTAAAAAAAAGACTATTTACCGGTATAGGCGGGTATGAGGGCACTATTCAAAAGACTATTGAATGGTAGGCAGGTATGAGGGCATGACTAAAATCTTGACTGCAATTTCGACCAATCAGATGGCTAGATATCTAAAAAGAGGTACATAATATTATATAACAGCATCTTTTTACTGTCTGTCTCTTCATTTCTCCCTGCAGGATGGTAGAGGCTCTGATCAAAGCTGATCCACATCTCAGGATCTTTCCAAGAGCCAATGGGTCAGTAGCTATTACATTATGATCTATACATTTTATTCATATCTTTACATCATGATCAATTTTTCAGAATCTCAGACATTTTATGCATCTTTGAAAAGTAATGTACACGCATCTTTTAGATTCTAATTGACTTATTTTGGACAGTGATGCACAATCGATTCAAACTGCTATGAAAGGCAAGATAATTTATGTTTGATAAATATATAAATTATTAAATATTTGTTTGCACAATTTGTATACAATTTACCATTTTCCCCCTGCATATCCTTATTACAAACAATTGAGGAAATAATGTCCTTGAAATGCATTTACCAAAAATTGTTTTCTGTGAATATTTTCAAAGTGTTTCTGAAGTACTTGAAATAGATGTGTATCTACCGTTCAAACTTTTTCTTTATTACAGAAACGTTGAAAATATTGAATTGTGCCTCTTAGAATTGGACTTGTACCCTATCGCTTTATTTCTAATCTCTATACACACCTGAAAGACAGTGTGCTTGAACATCTCCTCTTCTTACAGGAGGATGGTCTCAATGAATCCAAAGATTAGCATTAGACATGATTAGGAAAGAATGAGTTGTGTCTTTTCATGAGTGGACTTGCACTTCCCTCTCTGATTTTGGTATTATTTTTTTAACTGATACCCTTAAACAGGACAAAGCTGACCATGTCTGAGTCATTGGATGACATGCATGCCTACACACACCTGACAGACAGTGTGCTAGAACATATCCTCTTCTCACAGAAGGGGAGTCTCAAGGAATCCAAAGACATCATTCAGAAGATCCTCACCAGACAGCTCTACAAGTGTGTAGGACAGTCACAACCACCAGCAGACACAAAACTAGAGGTAAGAAGTATACAGGGTAACCCAAAAGAATGCACACCTGAGATCTACAATTCCAAGAATATCATTCACACAGTGTCGTTGGCTTGTATTACATAAGGTAGACCAAAAGAGATCTAAGTAAAATGACACCAAGACTATCAATTTGGGGTAATGGATTTTTTATTCTCCTATTTTTTTTGTGAGGCAATGTCGTTTTGCAACCATAGTCATGCTTGAAGCAGCAAGAAATTTGCGAATGACGGCTTCCCATGGTAATTGTGAAGACAGCTTCCTCTGTTGACCAGTTCATCTAACTTCTGAAGTCCCATTAATTTCATTTTATTAGAGGACAATGGATTGTATTTAGTCACGTCTTTTAAGTGACATATTATTGTTTAAGTGGCTCGAACATAAAGAGTAATATCTGTAGCTCTTGGTATCTTCTATATTGAATACCTTCTGGACTGGATGGGATAACACATGCATTTGTTTTCTTTGTTTTCCAGAAACCACTGGAAATCAGCAAAGCGATCTGTCTAGCTGTGTCAGAGGAGGAGCTGAAAGGACCCCAGCTTGATCCAGATGACCTGGTTGTACATGTAAGTACCCGATACGACGTACCCTTCTGACTTGGGTAGTGTGGACTCATAGAAGAACGTCACTACGAAGTTTGACTGAATTGATGGAATTCATTAATGCTAATGAAATGAAAAATATACAACACTTACTAAATTATACCTTGACTCAGTTTCGAACTGGGGTCCATCAAGCAGGGCTCCCACTTAGCCGAGTTGGAGCCTCGAGTTGTGGCAAGCTGGCGCGATCTTATGGCAAAATATGTTTTAATGATAAAACGGCTTGCCATAAGATCGCTCCAGCTCGCCACAACTCGAGGCTCCAACTCGGCTAAGTGGGAGCCCTGCTTTAGAGTCAGTTTATAGACAAAGGCTTGAGAGCTGAGCATATCACCGATTGTACCACTAGACCAACTAATATTTCCCTATCTTCTTTTGTTCATGTCTTTCAGGTGGTGAAGATGGACTATGGAATGGGGAACCAGAACCCTGTCGACTACGTCAGGTTCTACTCCAAGGAAGACCTGAACAGGGCCATCAAGATTAGGAAAGGACAGGTAAGGAATTATCTAGATTTTCATGCAACTTGCTGTTACGCCCTTCTGGCACTCAGCACATGAGACCATGTTAAATGTACGTTTACCTTGCGTGTACCAATGGAAAATAACTTTCTGTATCATAATAATAATAATAATAATAATGGGTTCTTGTAGGCGCTCATGTCAGTCAGATTTGACCCTCCTGGCGCTCCCGAGGTAACATAAAATGATCAAAAGGGAAATTCTCATACAGACCATTTCAGCATAAAGATGTATGCTTTAGAGGGACTTGCCAGTAATGTTCAGTAAATTATTATCTGTGCTCTTGTGTAGCATACAAGGCAGTATGGAGGTATTCGTACTGATTGGAGGAAAGAGGGGGGGTAGTGATGGTGGTGGATAGTCTATAAAGAGTTTATTGCCTATTATCCATACCAACAGTTTGTGGTATTCTTGAACACTGGAATGAGTATGGAAGGAGGGGCAGGCCTGATAAAAACCCGATTTAAATCGGTTTCCCGATTTTTTTTGTTGTAATTTTCCCGATTTAAATTTTTTTTTTTTTTTTACCAGATTTTTTTTTCTCCCTATTTTATCCTGATTTTCCTGATTCCCCTCTTATTTTCTCTATTCTTCCCTATTTTTTCCCAAATTTTCTTACTCGAAAGGGGGAATGTTGTTAGATGCCATTTTTCCCCGCGAATCCTCTTCTTATTTTCTTACTCAAGGGGGGCATGATTGAGGGGAAAACAAAAAACCTTTATTTTTTTTAGTGCTCACTATCATCCCTGGAGGGGGCAGTGGTGGCCATTGGCTGCTTTTGACAGTCATTTCCCCCTGGCCTTACTTTATGGGGCTGCCGCTGGCCTACAGGTATCCACTTTCAAAATCACCTTTTGAAGGACCAGAGCTGCCAACTAGTACGGATTTCCCGTAATTGGTACGGAAATTAACGACCATTACGGAATGTTGTCTCAAATTACGGATTTAAAAAAAAAAAAAAAAAAAATGATTTTTTTTTTTTTTTTTTTTTTTTTTTTTTTTTTTTTTTTTTTTTTTTTTAAATGAATTAAATATGATTTATCGTAGCGAGTGCTGTGAATAGGAGCCATTTTTCATGATAAACTGTGTTGTGATGACCTGAAATTCAATACTTAACATCTTTGTGTGAGTAAAATCACCAAAAATTTCAGATAATCATGCGTCCGCGCAGTGTTGGCGTGTCGTTTTTTTAGATTCATAGCGCCGCATAAGAAATTACTGATTTATACCCCAAATTACTGATTTTGAGCCTTGTGATTACTGATTTTCTGTTCTGGAGGTTGGCAGCTCTGAAGGACCCATCCTCTTGCCGAGTCCAGGAATGAATAGATAAACTGATTTGATTTTAAGGTCATTAGGGACAAAATGTTAGTTAAATGGTAATGCATATATATTTTTCATTGACATCAGGTGTCCCAGATGCTTCCAGAGAATTTTGTAGAGCACTACATCCGTCTCTACTGCAAGCATCGTGATGCGGAGAATGTTGCCAAGGCCGAGAGATGTTTCGCTGAATGGTGTGACAAACAGAAGTTCAGTAAACCAAAGGTAAGCCGGAAGATACCATGAAAGTGATGCTCAAATGTGCTTCAGATTTGCTCTGCGGTCAATTTCCTACCGTAATCAAATTTCTAACTTTAACCTTGGGCCTAACACTATAATAAAGTCTTTAACCCTAACCCAAGGTCATTGATGATATGAAGCGCAGCAAATGTCCGGTCACACTCTGCTCTTATCATTGCATTTCAATTTATTTGAAATGATTTTGCAAGAAAACAATCTTTATTTTAATTACCAACATTATGCTTCATTAAACTTTTCTTTTTCTTTATTGAATGCCTTTATGTTATTGTAATTTCTTCGTGTACAGTTATAGAATCTTTACACCTAATTAATTTGAACATTTCATATACAAGCCTTGCTTTTCAGCATTTGCTACTCTTTTCAAAGAAAAAGTATTCTAAAGGTTATAACTCGGGTATTGGATGTATTAAACGTGTAAATTGTAAAATTCCAAATATTTTATTACTATTTACTCATATTAATGCAACACATCATTTTTTGAAAAATGTAATAATTTTGTTAATACTATTGATGTTATGCGCTTCATTGTTCATATGATACTTTGAACATTGTAAATAAACTAATCTGAAGCTAAATTTGTAATGTACTTATATAACCAGCTGGGGTGGGGGGGGGGGGGGGTTCACAAAGATCCAAAATCGAACCTAACTGTAAGTTGGACTTAAACATTATGGAGAGTCATTTGTAGCCTTAAATAAAATATATTCAAAAGCAAAAATTCAAGTGTTATAGAATTATCATAGATTCCACAGTAAGAACATAAAATCTCCTTGAAAATAGAAAATATGAATGATTTAGATCAACATTTTATGCCTTTTAAAATAACTTTTAAAATATTTTAAAAAGTGCTAACGGCTTTCCATAATTGTTAAGTCACCTTATCGCACCCCCAGTCATTGTTATAAGGTTTGAATAACTTAATTAATTGTGTGGTATTTTATTTTTTAATTTTCCTTAGCCCGGCAACTTCCTTGACTCAGCAATGACGCCACTTGATTCCCAAAAGCGATCTGGGAGGGCGAAACCCGCAGCCCGTCCGAAGCCAAAAAAGTCAGGAAGAGCCTTGATGATACTTACAAAAGTATGTGATAGCAATATGTCAGTCATTATCGTATATATTTTATTAAGATCAGAGGTTACGTTGGAAAGACTAGCCGTAGATAAGAAACATTGGTGTTTACAAAGTGCCCTATATTGCCTTGCAAAGTTAGTTTGAGATTGGCATATTTTATCAAAGTTAGAGAAAATTGTAGGTACACTTTCACGACGAAATGTGATTTGATGCACTTTTGGATATACAGGGATTGTAACTTTTGAATATACAGGGTTGTCGTGGCAATCTGCTGCTAGATAGTTAAGGCATGCATGCTTTGAATGTGCACAAAAACTTAACATCCATTCTTTTTAACCCAAATTTGACCTCCTCACCAAACCTTGAGTATGACAGTATTTTATTCCTGCAAAAGGCCAGTAAAGTCTTCTTTTTTTTAAAAACATGCTTAGTAACACTTCAATATCACACTGTATGTAAAGTCTGACCAATACGCCATAGAAATAATTTTGTTATGACACATTGTTCAAGCACCTTCAGGATTTTCTGGGTAACGTGCAATGACCATTTATGTCTTGTTTATAACCTTGTTTTTCATTAATGCACAAATTATAGCCCATCAAAAAGGTACATGCTTAAAAATCCTACTTTGACGCCTACTGAAATTTGTAAACGTACAGTAACCTTTGACATTTGGTGGTGATGACGACACAAGTAGTAGCCAGTACAATAATGTATTGTAATCGGTGGAGGCGACTTTTAAACTCTTAGTTTTAGACTATGCTTTGTATTGTATACCAAATACCGATTTAAGAATGTTAGCTGTTTTAACATGCCTTCAGCACTACAAAAGTTTGAATAATGTGATAAATTGAAGAAACAAGAATAACTTGTTTGATGTTGTTTATTTGAGTAATGGTGTAGGGATTTCCTGTTTGTACAGACAACTCATTTTGCCATAATTCAAGGAAAAAATTAATATTTATTTTTCGGGGGCTACTTTTCAAGCTTGCCTACATGAAAATAAAACATTCTAAAATCTTATTTTAAAATTTGTTTTACATTGAACTCTATGTAAATTCATGGGGCTCTTTTCTGATTTTTGGGGGCTCTTTTGGGCATTTCAGGGGGCTAATTTGCCCCGAGCCCCCGTGTATTTTTTTCACTGCCATAATTACTCTTTGTTTATAGCCTCTTTAAAGTAACACCAAAGATTTTGACATTTTAGGTGACGACACCTATTTCACTGATAGTTGTAAATACTTATCCTAGTACTTATTAAAATTCAAGCCTACTGAAAGGCTGTTTTTATTATATTATATGACATAGGTATGAATTTTTACTAAACCAGTCTTATTAGCAATATTAGAACAGGTTTCAGTAACATATCAGTTTTTTATATAGATACTTTGTGACCTCTTACAGTATATGAATGAGTATTTAAGGATTTTTAATGTGAATATTGTTTAAAAAAAACTAGAAACATGATATTATAGCAACCAGATACAAATTATGATATACATCATTAGATACAAAAGATAAAGAATGCAGAAGTCATACATGATGCAGCACTGTGTACAATCATGTTGCTTCCATATCATCATGTACAAAAGAACAATACCCAAGAGGGTTATAATCATATGGTGTACATATACAGTGCATACTATTTATGCTTCCATATTTTTAGTGTGTGGCTTCTTCAAATGCTGGTATTTCAGCTTTTGTGATGATAGTTTGGTATACTTACGATAGTCCCATTTGTATAGCGCTTAATGCTTTACATTCTAATTATTATATTAGATATAGGTAGTAAATATATTAAAGTGGCTTGCATACTCAAGCAAACCTTTATTTAGCAAAGCAAAACAAAGCAATAAAGGGAAATTTAGTTATCCTTCTTTGAAGGAAAATATATAGCTGATTTGGGAGAATTATAAGCTGAGATAATTACATGTATGCAATGGTTTATATTTTAAGAAATGTGCCTTATTTCACACAAGGGTAAAATTAAACCCTACTTTTCAACATAATTTTTTAAAATTTTGTTAATGGTTTTTAAGCTTGCCTTCTAGTAAATTAGATTTTAGTGACAAGAATGTCATGTGTATCAATAATGTACTGCAGTACTTTTTATAATGTGTATTCCAGTTTTAGCTGATGTATGAATGCAGTTCATATTTTTAGTATTGAGAGTAATTATGTATAAACCGTGTTTTTACTTCACATGTGAGTAGTGTATAGGGGGTGTCTGGTTATTTATCAAAGATGCTGCAACTTACTTTTTTTTTAGTAACACAGTTACTTTTTAGATAGATTCATAGAGAAGTTAATTGCTTATTCAGATGAAACATTACTGTATTAACTAATACATAGAGAAATTCAAAATATTTCTGGATAGTTAATGTATTCTGTCAGAGAAGATGTGTACCGTCATTGTAAATGTATTGAATAGCATGATGTGGAGATGGTGTGATATGATGGTTAATTCACTACACTTTAAAATCAAGAGCTCGAGGATTCAAATCCCAACTCAACAATACCTTTCTTTTGCAAGACGTTCATCTGCTTTTTGACACCCTACACCCCAGGTGATTATGTAAATGGTAGTTGATATCCTATGTACTTGAGTACAATAAATTTACTTGGCTATGACGAGGGTAATGGTATTAGAGCACCACAAGGGTTACAGTGTCACCACCATTATCAAATGCATCTCTATTCACTAATCCAAACCCATATATTTTGCTAATATAGAACTGATTGTATCCTCCTATTCCTCTTCTAAGCGTTCTAAGTTTAGGACATAAATCAGCACGCTCTGGAAGAATGGGGTATTGAGCATACAGGGTTTGTTTTATCTGTAGGTTTACATGAGAGGAAGAAAAATAGAGACGGTTGCTGTACCGGTACTCACTTTTAACTCACTTGATCCAGGATTATTCAGTCTTACGACAAGTCCCACTGGTTCCAAGATTTTTTCTGACTTGTTTTTTCAATACAGATCGATCAATCAATCTTATTTACTGGGTGTAAGCCACAAATATGTTTGAATAATTGAAATTTCTCTCAGGAAGCATTACATTTATTTAAAAAAAATATAAGACTGTTGTTCTTATCCATGGTTTTCTTTGGTTGGGCTATATCTGGGTTACTATTAAAAACTGATATGTACTTTACTGAAACAGTTTAATTATGTGACATGTAATATTTAACAATGTTGTGTATGAATCACATTTATAAGAAAGGCTGATCTTTTAATTGCAACTGTTTCTCTCTTTCATGAATGTTTGAATTTAGGGGGAGAAGCTGCAGACTACAAATAAAAACTATTTTTCTAACCCAGTTTAAAAGAGCATAGTTTTGTCATTTTATTATTTGGCTGTTGCATGGTTTATGCATCCCAGCAAGAGGTTTGATTTGATTTGATTTGATTTTTGATTTATTGGTTTCTGCATCTTTTTTTCATCATACATTTTCATGAACATAATATGGTTTGATACAATATTTTAAGTGTATATAATTTTATACAGATAATTAACGAAATTAAACAAATATATTGAATGCATAATTAACATACATTAGATGCAGGAGGGCTACAGAAATAGGCAAGGTATCTTGACGTGCCCGCAGCCCTCAACTTAGATACAACAATAAAAATAAAAGTAAAAAAGAGTGTGACTTACAGAGAAGAAGAGGTTTTAGTATTTAATTTTAGCTTTTAGCTGTTTTGCCTTTTGATTTCCTATATTTTTTCTGAGTCTATATCCCCCTTCCTACCTATTTTCCCCTTCCTGTCGACTTATCCTTTCAGAGATGCACATGTAGACCTTGGATACCCTTCCCACAGTGATGTGAGTGATGAAGATACACAGCATCCAGCGTAAAAGAAGCATGTATATTTATTTGAGAATAGATGCGTCGACGGACGAGCTTCAAGAATGCATGCAATTTACTTTTCAACTGAAGAACACGGACAGACTTTGACATGATGCGGAGATATTGCCCGAACTCTATGA